TCCTCCCTCAGCAAAAACTGGGCAGAAATCATTCACAACCAATGTACTGACACATATAACCTTCCGTTTCTTAACATGACCCACGGTAACAGAGCAGCATTTTCCAAAGGCAAGACTCTAACGAGCCCTTTAGGCTGCCAGGCCGCCGTTCATCAGAATCACCGCAGCACCCGTTTGGTCAGCCTCCCGTGTCTGCGTTATTTGTGTAATTTCATTACACTTCTCTCGGCCCAGACGTGTTAGTTATGTTTCTATTTTGGTTTTTGTTTTTTTTTTCAAACTTCCTTTTGTATTAGCAACCTGCAAAATCAAAGGTGAAACCCTTCCAGAGAGATGTCAGTAGCCTGGGTTTACGTCTATCGCATTTAAATTCATTTGTTTTCTAAGAAGACATATTACTTCTTAGATTCTTTGCGTGTTTTTGTCAAACGCAGTCAGCAGCGAAGTTTCACTTCCACGTGTTTTAGTAGCACATACGGATAGCACACCACTGTTTGATGGCACGCGTGGGTGTGTGACCTTTGTCTCAGGCCTTTGCATTTCACACGGTGCTTTTGACGACGACGGTGTCTTCGGTACAATCACTTACACGTGTTTTTCTGTTGCATACAAACCAAAGGTGCCTGAGCACACAAATAGAGATCAGATGAACCTTCTCATTCCATCACCTGCTCCTCCAGAAACGCACTCTCTACGTCACATTTTCCACACTTGCCATATTGTCATCGGCTGCTTCTATGTCCCCAAAGAACACTAACGAATGATCGATAGCCTGGACGTGTCTGGCCACGGCCTACACGTGCCCTGGGTAGTTCATTTATTTGCCTTGGTGGATTTGTTAGAGTGGGATTTAATCAATAGCTGATTCATTCATTCTGGTCTTCAAGAATGGAGAGACTGCCTTAGATGAAGGTGGCTGACCGGCTCTGGCTTTGATTGAACGATGACAAACACTGTAGCTGACAGCTTCCCTGGGTACCGGGCAGCCTCTGAGGTTTACTTATTTATTCTCCATAAACACGTACGATAAAATCTCCTCCTTGTTTATGTTTTCTTGCTGCATTACTGCTAGTATTCTAAAATGCATGATTTCCAGGCATGAGGCTCAGGGGAGAGCAGAGGGAAGGCAGATCGTGTCTCTCGCTGCCTTTAATTGGAACCGTGGCAGTTTTTTCTCCCAGTTCCACATCAGTTTGGGGCTGTATTATTGATGAGAAGTCTGGGGTGTAATGCCTTTGTAGCATTCACAAATAATTGTTTAAAAATTTGCCCCAAGCTACTGAACGGTATAAATGATATTTGTCCACACCGGCTTTGCGGAAGTCTGGATGATAGCAGGTCCGCCTGGGTGCCTCTGACTGCAGGTTGAACACCTTGCATCGTTTGAAAACTCCCCTATGTCTTCACAGTCCCTAGCTTAGGGTGGGCTATGGCGTGAGAGGTCATGGCTTGTGGCAGAAGACTCTTCCCCTTTCTGCCTCCCCAAAGTTGAGGTGAGACTTGGAAACCTCCCTGCATTTCATGACCTTGACTATCAAGGAATCTTCTCTATCCTTAATTTTCCTTCCCTGATTTTTTTTCAGTGACTGGCAGCTTGAATGCTGAAGGAATAATTTTACAATGAAAAAGTTTAAGCCATGTTTNTGAATGCTGAAGGAATAATTTTACAATGAAAAAGTTTGAGCTATGTTTTATTGTATTTCATTTTCTTAATCTGTGTCAAGAAAGCTAAAAGGTCCTATGGGAATCCCACAGCAGTCCTCCTGTTGCATCCCTTAGAGCCAAGTGTCATGTCCTTGGTCCCAACCATGGGACGCAGGGGAAGGGAAGAGAAAGTGTTTATGAGTAGGGGTCAGGTCTGCCACATACTCTAATTTACACTTCACTCCCCAAGTCTTAATCCTTGCGCCGTATTTTTACTTAGCAAACCGAAGATTTCCGTTGGTTTTCCTGATTGGCCACAAACAATCCTTTCTTCTTGTTTCTGAAATTTAAAGTGGGAGACCCCCAGGCTCGTGTCACTCATGACTCCCAAAATCTTAAAAAGATTCGATTGAGTCTCAAAAAAATACATGATAATAGCATATATGAGTATATACATTAATAGATACGTATTCTCCTGCTACAGCGTTTTGATTAGGAAGTTAATAGATGTAGGTCCTGAGAACAACCTGAAAGGTAAGTTGAAAGGGACGTGAGGCTGAGAGCGGCAACGTTAAATGTTGTCTCTTCAGGAGTATTAATTATTCTCTCTGTTACAGATCCCTTCGGATCGACTGGGCATCTCCAGGGAAACCGAATGGCATCATTCTCGGATACGAGCTCTTACGGAGGACGTGGTCCCCGTGCCCTGCGGCCCAGAGCAACCACAGCGGTGAGCTCTGCAAGGCAGGGATGTGTCGAGAACCTGAAAGTGCCTGTGGACACAGGTGCGGGGCTCCTGAAGCTAAGGTAAATCTTCTCCAGCCCGTCAGTGAAATATGTTTTTCTCACTAAACACTCCAGGTGAAAAGGCTCCCTCCTTAAGCCACGATTTATCATGATCTCCATTCCCACCAGTCCACCCAGAAGACCCCATGGCAAAGACAGGATGCTTATAAAAACCCCATCATCCTCACGAGCATTTTAGCCGTCTCATGTTTCATCATCTTCACCAGAAACATCAGTTTACTAAAATAATAAGAAACCTCCTGAATCTGTATTTGATGGAGTGACTTGAATTTTTTATTATTATTATTTTTTTTACAACAAATCCATTCAGCTACAAGTGAGTGTTTGTTTACATGACACTGATGAGTAACTGTGAGCAGGACCTTTCACTGTTTGTCAGAAATATTTTAAAATTATGGCCATTTGCAGATTAATGTTCTTATTAGTTGCAGTTTAGGAATCGGATCAATAACACAGCCAGACAGAAGAGTTTGTAAATGGCTTTTATTGACAAACGATGCAGAAAATTCTTGGTCTGAAGGTAGGATTTCGTATAATGAAATAAAGTTCCTATTCATCAGCGGTGTCACCCATTTAAGGACGGAAGCTACCACTAAATCCAAAAGATTCACTGCCCAAGGACACAGTAATTAAGAAAGGGAGCTTTTGCAGCAATATGGATCTAAACACAAATTATTATGACACTAGCTAAAGAGTAGTTATCATCTAATAAATGTTGTAAAACCAGCTGTTACAAACTATCCTTATTTATTTTTTTTGACAGTCCCCAGAATTGTCATTATGCCTAAGTTTTTTGTCATTTCAGGCCATAAACTGTGCAGTTGGATTCACAGAGCTACCCGAACAACCACAGGGGGTAGACATTGAATTGAAGGGCCCCGTTTCTTTTTCTCTTCGGTAACTTTTGAAAAGTAAATGAAGGTCTAAAGCTAGTGGCCCTTTTGAAGACTTAGAGATCCCACCTTCTACTGCTCACGTGTTGAGCTCAATTCAAACGTTGGTGAGGCTGCAAGTAGCAGTGAACAAAAGGGGAAAGAGAGACATTTCGTAAACAGTGGCTGGTTTTGTCTGTCCCAGGAAGCGTCTGTCCAGTGCATGTGACGCGCCAAGTGTAGGCTCTGAGGCTCCCTTTTGGCAACTGTCCTACACACACAGTGACAGTTTCTCAGACCGAGGGAGCATGCAAATAATTTTGATTGTCCAAGCACATAATTTCTTCCACACCTCCTGGAGGAAACACACATGGTTAAAAGGGCTTGTCAAAAATTAATTTCCATATAAATTTTATTTTTTTTCATGCGACATGTGTGCACACATATATACATATATATGGGGGTGTGTGCAAATATGTATGTAAATGTTGGACTCTTTTAAGATCGCCTTGTCTGGAGATTGGGTTCATAAATAAGTGATCATATAAATGATAAGAAAAGTGCAATTTATTAAAAAAAAAAGCAAAGCAAAAGAAAAATCAGTGAGAGTCAGGTTTCCACAGATGTGGAATTAAAATAAACAGCTATTAAAATAAAAGCATATATATGACGGCAATTGTTCCTTTATAATTATAAACCATCTTTCCATTGGAAGCACTGACATTCAAAATGTAATTCATATTTATGGAATATTACAATAGAGCACAAAGCATGCTTGAAGGCTAGAAAAGCTACATTATATCAACTAGCATTTATAGAAAATGTGTTTTCCAATGTATGAATTTTATCAGACATATGCTACTCTTGGTCTCCTAACAAGCGCTATTAGAAAGTAATTATGTCACAGAAGATGGGGTGGTGTAATAGTCCTAACTGACTGATGTTTCTTTCGATGTGATTCCGTCTCCCAGGTCTGCTGCGCGGGCCTGCTCTGTGACGCCCAGGCAGGGCCCCAGGGCTGCGATGGGGAGTGTGTCCCCTTCGTTTCAAATTCAACCCGAGTGTGTTGTGGTGGCCGCGTGCACGAGGCCCAGCCGGACCATCGCTGCTGCTCCGGCTATTACATCAGAGTCCTCCCAGGTGAGGGCCGTCGCCAGGTGAACTTGGTGACCGCAGGGACCAGGGAAAGCAGACCCAGGGCTCACGTCTGAGAACTAGTACTTCATGCACCTTCCCAATGAAAATCAAATCGCTTCCACGTAGCCAGTGACCAGCGTTAAACATCATTGCTTTTTGCAAATAAAATTTGACGTTTTTTTCCCCCCAAAAATGAAATCAGTCGCGAAGCCTAACAATTATTTATTCACATTACACAAAACTTTTTGAGAAGTAATTTTTTAAATGAGAGATTCTAAAACCTCCGCGGTCAATAGGTTGACACAGGCTCGCTCAGACCTCAAGCACTTTCATGTCCACTAAACGTTGAACTTGGCCCACATCCTGTTCAGTGGTGCCTTTTTTGTAGGATTAGAATGCCTACCGTGGTGTCAAGAAAAGACAAAAAAAGCAATCTTATGGGTTAATCAAAGAGAGCTTTTTGCCCCAATCATGAATCTCAATGTAACCAAACAGAGAGATTTTATCCCAAACTCTATCCTCAGCTAGTGATCTTTGTGAACTAATTTAACGCTGTTTACATCAAGAAGAAAGCGCGCTGACCCCCAAACTATCTCCTATCAAAATGTAATTAAAATTCAGTCCGTGGTCTGCCAGTTCAAGGCCCAGATGGGTATAGACGTTTTGATAGTTATAGATGAGCCTGAAGGATTGGTTAATACTATTTAGTTTATTTTTTTCTCACAACTTTCATAGCACCCACAATAAAGAGCAATAGAGAAAAGAATGCTCGTGACTCCCCCCCTTTTTTATAAATATGCTAATGACCTCGAGCTAAATGTTAATGCGGGTCATTCTTTGATAAGAATAACAATTAACAGTTAAGACCGCGTGGTAGCTTTTAGAGAGGAAACATTTTCGAGCCGGTGGCGAAATAGATTCATTTTTGAGAGGTTAATGAGAAGGTGACGGATCCTTGCATCTTAGGTCTAATAGCCCTTTTTTTGAGGGGGGAAAATCAGTTTTCCTTGTCGTTGATATAACCCACATCTTTTTTGATGACGCCTTTTCTTCTGACAGTCATGCAATAGATTCTGAGGGATAGAGGGAAATGTGGCTGAACTATCCAAACCAATTATTTGTTCTACTCAAAAGTGGCTTTTTGAGATACTGTTGGTTTTCCCCAATACAGACGCGTCCGCTGTTTCCTCTGAGCCCACCGTTGTCCTAAGTCATGTTTAATTAACTGATGCTGCAGCAGGAGAAAAGATTATTTTATTTTTATCTTGTTTCCCAGAATATCATGTAATAGGGAATGCAGGTGAAACTACGGCAGTGAAATTCAGGGTCTGCCACGGCTCCGCAATCACAAGCGTGCTGACCTGAGTACAGTGTTTTCACTGCCTCTCGCGTAATTGACCATTTCATTGAAAGTATTTTGTTTGGTTCAATAAATACAGTTTGGTTAAAGAAATTATAAGCATACGCATTATAGATTTATCAAGAGTTGATTTCTGACTCTACCCACGTTCCAAAAAAAAAATAAAAAATTACGCTAAACAGGAAAGTATTTGTAGACGAGCTTTTTCTGTAATGTCCCTTAAGCCACGTCACCAGGCCTGAAGTGCTTATTTATTAGGGGTCAGAGAGGAAGTAAAGAGCATGGCCTTGCCTCTAGGCTGGCGTGTGCCCAGGGGAGTTGACACGCGTGTTTCTGCGTCATCAGCGCAAACATTTTGAGGGTGCACTGAGATTTTGCGTCTCCAACACGTCAGTGTTCTTTCTAGTATTTCTCAACCTGTCGGCGTCTGCAGGATGAGTGCCATAAAATTTCGCCGTGAGTCACAGCATATTTTTTTAACTCACGCGCTGCTGGTTATTGTCCTCGACTGGCAGGTGAAGTATGCTGTCCAGATGAGCCGCACCACCGGGTGTCCGTGGGCATCGGCGACGCCTGCTGTGGCAGAATGCCCTACTCCAGGTCAGGCGCACAGCTCTGCTGTGCGGGGAGGCTTCGCGACGGCCACGGCCGGCGGTGCTGCGGCGGGCAGGTGGTCGGCAGAGACCTCGAGTGCTGCGGGGGAGCCGAAGAGGGCACGGCCTACAGCCGCCTGCCAGGTGAGGGGCCCGCGCACCCCTCCGTGGGTGGAGAAACTGGGAAGCAGAGAGACAAACTACGCCAAGTCGACAGCACTCCACGGTCACTGTTGGCCCAGCTGAGTTGCGTGTCTTTCATGCACATGACCACATGTAATCCGCACAACAACCCTGTGGGGTTACTGTTATTTTCTCCATTTATAGGTGAGGAAGCAGAAGCTTTTTTTTATAAAATGTTTTTATTGATTTTAGAGAGAGAGGAAGGGGGAGGGAGAGAGAGAGAAGCATCGATCGGCTGCCGTCTGCGTGCCCCCTTTTGGGGATGGAGCCCACAGCCTGGGCCTGGCCCTGACCAGGGATCGTGGGACGATCGAGGCTCAGCCACTGAGCCACACCCACTGGGTGCAAGCAGAAGCCCTTTGAACAGATGTTAAAAACTTCCCCAAAACACACAGCTAGTCAGAGGCTGTATTGCTTCAGGAAGCATGTAAAAGAAAAAAAAAAGGTAAGGTGATTAAAAAAAAAAAGAGGTAAACCATCGGATTGGAACCTCTAACAAGAAGTCGGATTTTGAGACACATGAGTAGACAAAGGACCTTCAGCCGAAGGGCGTAGCTCGAGCCGGAGTGTGAAATGAGCAACGTGCAAAGCTTGTCCAGGGGGTGGCGAGCCAGTGGGCGTATGGGAGGCTCCCACGGCGGGTAAGGGAAGGGAGGGAGGCAAATCTGAGCAGGGATTCAGCACTGCTCTGTGCTCACGGAAGGGTCCATGTGGCTTAGGGACGTCAATTATCTTCGGGTGGCAGAATGAACGTAACAGAGAAAGAGAGAAGTCGGGACACTGTTGGCGAAGAGTGAAAGGGCCCTGGCCTAGGAAATGGAGTGGAGGTTGCTGTCCACTGGGACGGCGGTTATGATTTTGGGGGCCACATGTTCTCTTTAGGGTCTTTGAACCTCACAAACCCTCATCTCAAATCACGGTGCGCAGAATACACACCAGAATGGCCCTGCCGTTTCCTGCGCCCTTCACGTGCACCCACGGGCCCACATTTCAGAATCGCTTCTCTCTCTCCTTCCACAGGACACTGTGCCAGTCAGGCAGTCCCTAAGCAAACTGTGACGTTCCTCGGGATTAGCGCTAGGGTTTCTCACGACGTCCTTCATTTCCGCCAACTCTGGAAGTCATGGTGGACCGAAGGAATGATATTTATAAAGAGGGGAAAAAATAGCTTTTTATTCTCTTGACCTTCCTGCAGATTTCACTGGAAATAGACACATTTCACTTTCTTTTTTCTTTCTCTCTCTCTCTGCTGCTTCTCCCTCCCGTCGCCCCTAATGGCTCTGACCTCAGTGACCTTCCAGAATATCCATATGGCTC